GCATTTTGAAAGACTCATTGCCATCGATTTTCGGTGCGTGCAGGCTCCATTTAATGCCATTTAATGCTGTGCTTCTTTCAATTAACACAAGATATGTAAGTATACATATATTCATTATTCTAGGTGGCTTTCGCATCAAACTTCGGACCGCCGTGAGAAGGTTGGACTATGCCACTCACTGTGTGACGCGAAACAAACAATGAGACTGCATGAGCACACCGGACATGGAGAAAGATCAGCTTGATTTTGTGTCTTCTATATTTGCATGGTGTAAGATCAGCTTGTGAACCATCACGCTGGCTTCTCGCACACTCAGTGGTTCAAAGCCCCACGTGCCGCACCCATCACCTGATCGGTCACCAACCATGTGCACCATTGAGAAGATTGAGAATATCACCCTTCGTGGCAGGTGGGACTTTGGGAACATCGCGGTGGTTGGTACATACAGGGGATTTGCCTGGGATCATTGCATTGATACAGATGCAAAAATATATGAACATAGGAAGGGATTGCCCCTTCAAAGGGCCTTCTTTCATCTTTACTTTTCTTCTTTATTTCTGACATGTTATTTCGTTTTCTTTACACACCTTTGCTCTTCAAGTCTGTGTTGACTGTTGATGGATGAGCAGTAGCAGCGTAGCGTTTTTTCGCCACCAGGAGGAGGAGTGTCACAGCAGACACCGTGTCGAGCCTATTGATGGCTGCAGCCAAGAGCAGTGCCGAAGCACCAAGTCGCGCACTGAAGCGACGTGTGCGCCAGCGGTTGCACAAAAAGCTGGGCTGCATGCTGGGTCAAAAAGACTTTGAAAAGGTGGGGAGGGAAGGGCGACAAGGGCGACAAGGGCGACAAGGGCGCCAGGAGAGCTGGAACAAGAGCCACACGATATTACACATGGCCTTTCCTACTTATGCAAGTTTTCATCGTTAGCTCAACGCACAGCGCATATGAACAGAGAGAGTTTTCATTGTGCTGCCATTTCCGCCCACTAAAGGACACCGAGAAACGGCAGAAAAGCTGAATGGCGAATGCACAAAAACGAACCCGGACCCTGATTCTCAACGCACCGGGTCATTAGAAGATAGGACACAAACCAGTCCGCTTCGACAATAGATGCGTGAGGCAATGAACCAGTTCAAGATGATGGAAGAGTCCTGGCTGCACGGTTAGCAGAAGCTGCCAGACCTGCAAGATCCTGGTGTTTGGATGGTCTCTGTGAGGTGTTCGGTCATGCATCGAGCTGTGGATGTAGCATGTAGGCAAATGACGGGCTCATGCAAAGCGTGACTAAGACACGAGCCAATCTGAAACTATGTTTTGCCACATGCCAGACACCACTTGTACAAATAACCGATCGATTGCTTGTGCAAGCTGTCAGATTCAACTTGCTGCTTCCTTGTTGCGAATCAGCAGTTCCAAGGTAGCAACGGCTTTTCCGACATCAACATTGGTGGAATGGGAATGCATGGGAATGAATTGGATCCATTTACATACCATGTTGCATTACATTCTTTGCGATGATTGGCAGTGATGATGAGAAGGGTACAGTGCAATGAATCCAAGGATGAAGCGGCTGCTACGAACGAGGCGATGATAGAAGCTGTCGCTGCTGCTACAGTTGCTGCCCCCAAGGATGTCACAAATGTCATCGGGGTCAACACGACAATGCCTCTCGTGACTTACCCCATTTCAACGCTTTTGCTTCCGGTGCTTGCACCTCGGCTGAAGGTGAGTCCGCCGAAGGTCCACACCCACACTCATTCAAGAACGAAGCCTGCTAAACCAAACTTGTGTTGCAAAAGTGCAGCTTTTCGTCCGGTGTGTTTGTGTCCCAAAGCCGGAATGGTGTGTTCAGGTGCCTTGGCCCGTCTCAGTGACTCCGCCCGCGCCCATTCTGAAGGACCGATTTCTTACAGAGTGCTTGAAGGTTTGTAGAATCGTAGAAAGCCATCGAGAGACTGGTATTGTCATAAGCTGATGGCTTGCATTGAATAGTAGATCTTCATTTCATTTTGCTGCTCACTGGTAGCACTTATGTAAAGAGAACAGCTGTCATAACAGTGCACTCTTCAGTCAAGTTTCTCTAGAGTTCTTTAAGTTTCGATCTCTTGATCCTTTTGAGCTTTCTGACTCTGATTGGACCAAGTGACCCAAGTACTTGCCGATCTCGGGATCAGACTCCAGAGTGCTTGAAAATGATTCGGATAGCTGTTCATTCCCTAGCAAAGTTCACTACTTATTTTGCAGTGGACATGCATTTGAGAAAAGGCTTGTTTCAGAGTCAGGACATTGCGAACAATTTCGATGATTGCGGTGCAAGTGATTGCCAAGAATCTACCAGCATGGAGGACCGCTGTGGCAAAACTGAGTCAGTGTTGGAGGGTGCATTGCACATCATATTCTGGACCAAAGAGCTTCCACTTGCTTTGCCCCCAAGGAGGACGAAGTGCAAAGCATCAGCAATCTAAGCACTGGGTGGAAGCGTATCATCTCCGAGCCGACACCGCCCATGCCGGTATCGCGCACTTTCATCCAGCCACCTGAATGCGGAGATTCAGTCGCATTTGCACCACTGACTACTGCTGTATGCACTCTTTTCCGTTCTGCAATACTTTTTTGAAAGAAGGCACTTGACTTATGCTCTCTAGACTTTGAGAATGATAGAGATCGGCACACACAACGGCCTTTGCAAGGTATGACACTCGGCAGCTGCCAACTCGCCGCAGATCTCGTTCTGTTTAAGGGGCATAGTAAAGTGTTTAAGCATTTGAAGAGTGGGAAGGTGGCCACAAAAGCGGTCGGGTAGCGCTGGTGAATCAGGCTTGATTTGTAAGAGTGAACTCATACATGTGGCTTGGTGGTCGTAGAATTGTGGGTGATGAGGCTACTTCAAATTGTTTCTGATTTGCTCAAACTACAGGCAAGCTCTACTTGACCAATGTGGTAGTACGAGTTGCAGTTTGTAGGACTGTGTCAGCTCACCAAATCACGAAAGCAAGCTCTGACACAGGTCTGCTCAATTTCATGTTTACAGGGGGAGGGTCAGAAATTATCGAATTGATTTATCACCACAAAAGCCCCCCGCACTTTGCGTGATAATTAGAATCAATTGGTGCCCCCCTGGTAACGAATTGATTTCGTGGTTGGTGGTATCCCTCGCTTTCGTTTCCGCTTTTTCAAGATATTGTAGAAAGTGTTGTCTAGCTGCCGTCAAGGTGCTTTTGGGGGTGGCGTAGCTGGAAGCCTTCCCAACCATGTTTTAATTTGTGGCTGCAAGGCTTTTGTTATGTACGGTTAATGCAAATCAATTCTCAGCACTTTTAGAGCTCTAGTGCGACTAATAGTCTCTAGACTCTAGATGCTATTCCTCTCTGATCAAACGATGTGGAACTATTCAACTTGGATACACTGGACACTGGATGCTGAAGCTACAGCAAAGCAATTTGTGGCAAAAATTTCATGGTGATACCAGATATATACCTGACCGAGTTTTGGCACTTCGAGGAGAACAAGTCCCTTTCCCCATGGCGCGAAGAACCCTCTGGAGGGCTGCGCGCTTGTATTCGCATGCAAGATTTATGGCAAGGATCAACTCAAAACCTCACACTTCACATATTGAAAAGCATATTTTTACATGTTAAACAATGCATTGAGAACATTTGTTTCTTGTTGCCTCCCTCGCTGTCGTTGCTCCTTGTACTGCTGACTTCCAGTCGCCATGGGGCTGGTAACAGCAGCCGATTTATAATCGGTCTGGAACCTCATGTATAGATGCAGGCTACCATTCAGTTACCTAGCGGCTTGCTGCGCAAGTCTTGTCTTGGATCCCATAGTTTGTCTATCGCTCGAACCTCTTAATCGAGTGGGTGAGAATCTACTTCTGTTGTATGCTGAAGTGTCTGCTCCTGCATATCTTGAGTATTTCACGGGGCAGTGAAGCGAAACCATAGCAAATCTACAGCAGCCAGCCGGCTCCGAACGTGGATGGTAGGCATGCTCGTTCCAATCTGTTCCGCTGCCACTGCACCAGTTGTGTGGCAGAGGGCGAGATTTTTAAATGGGATCTGGGTGCAAAAACAAACTTCAAAAGAGTTCCTCGACTATTTGTCACAGGGTCTATTGTTTGCCAGTCAGACCAGCTTTGGCCAAATCCCATTGTGGGTGTTACCAGGCGCCACAGAGTTTTTGAACACTGTCTTTTACGGATGTGCACCTGAGCTCTACAATCACGGCTGGTTGACAACAAAAGATTCCATGCGGTTTAAACACAAGTAGAGATTTGGATGAAAATCACCAGCAAGTTGGAGGGCCACGGTCGCCTTTCATCCTAACGTGGCTGCCATCAGCAGTGACGCTTACAGCATCCGTTTCTTTTTGAAGTACAGATACGTACAGTCTTGCTTGCGCTTGTGCACAAGCAGCAAGCAAGACTCAACTCTCAGCTCTCCAGTGCAACTTTTTCGATTTGCAGAGAAGGAGACACACCGAGGCCATGTTCCAAGACCATTCTCCAGATCTTGTTTCGTTTATTGAGACAATGAATTTGACTGTTGAAACAATGTTCGCTACTAGGAACAAGTGCATCGCTACTAGGAACAAGTGCCTTACTAGTAGTAACAAGGACGCTAGTAGTTAATTCTTGTTCCCAGATAGCGAAGCTGAAGGGGTTCTTACTTCTCAATGGATGGGTTGCTGATTGCGGAAATTGGCTGCCGCTGCCGCTGCCGCCTTGTTTCCCAAGCTTGTCTCCCTTCATGATTTCGCTTTTGGCTGCCGCTGCCGCCTTGTCTCCCAAGCTTGTCTCTTCATGATTTCGCTTTTGGCTGCCGCTGCCGCCTTGTCTCCCAAGCTTGTCTCCCTTCATGATTTCGTCTTCGGCTGCCGCTGCTGTCTTGTCTGTGAAGCTTGGCTCCCTTCAGGATTTTGCTCTTGGCTGCCCCTGCCAGCTCGTCTCCCAAGCTTGTCTCCCTTCATGATTTTGCTCTTGGCTGCCGCTGCCGCCTTGTCTCCCAAGCTTGTCTCCCTTCATGATTTCGCTTTTGGCTGCCGCTGCCGCCTGGTCTGTGAAGCTTGTCTCCCTTCATGATTTCGCTTTTGGCCGCCGCTGCCGCCTTGACTCCTAAGCTTGTCTCCCTTCATGATTTCGCTCTTGGCTGCCGCTGCCGGCTTGTCTCCCAAGCTTGTCTCCCTTCATGATTTCGCTTTTGGCTGCCGCTGCCGCCTTGACTCCTAAGCTTGTCTCCCTTCATGATTTCGCTCTTGGCTGCCGCTGCCGCCTTGTCTCCCAAGCTTGTCTGCCTTCATGATTTGGCTTTTGGCTGCCGCTGCCGCCTTGTCTCTCAAGCTTGTCTCCCTTCATGATTTCGCTCTTGGCTGCCGCTGCCGTCTTGTTTCTCAAGCTTGTCTCCCTTCATAACTTCGCTCTTGGCTGCCGCTGCCGCCTGGTCTCCCAAGCCTGTCTCTTCATGATTTCGCTCTTGGCTGCCGCTGCCGCCGTGGTTCCCAAGCTTGTCTCTGTTCCTGATTTCGCTCTTGGCTGCCGCTGCCGCCTTGTCATTTTCTTGCCTGCCTTTGACGCGGATGCTGTTATAAGATGATTTAGGTGTTGTTTACCTTTTCCATCCTTTTCCCGGCTTTGAGTGGGATGTCTTCCAAGCTTGTCTCCCGCTCTTGCCATGCTATCCTTTTCTTGAAGTGCTATCTGGGGTCTATGCCGGTATAATTTTACTGAATTTGGGCGTCGAAAATGGCCTCACAATCTCAGATGCGGGCCTCTGGCCACGAGCCGGAGAACCATACTGAGAGTGGTGAACGACTCAAGCGTAAGAACGGATTGAACAAACCCGCAAGAACGCCTGTGAGGACTTTTTTAAGGTTGAAGCCTCTTGTTCTTTCTGTCTTTGAAGTCTTTGACGATGGCTTTTTGCCAGGTTGGAGTTCTCCAGACACTGAAGTCAAGGTCCTGGTGAAAGTTCTGACGCGGTTCTCTCTGTAGTCCGTAGAACGGAGTCGAGACAAGTGGAACTTTGAACCTGTCCGGCTGGCAGAAGCTTGCACAAAGAAAACCACCCTTGTCCGTGCGTTTGGTTTGTTGAAAAATGGATGTGAGCTGCTCCCTTCCGGCCGATCTGAGGCCGCATGCTGTTGCCACGAACTCTTAAGGTCCACTTATCACGCATCAGCACAGCATATCATGGCAGCTATGAGGTGTTGCAACCCAACGCTGAGGCATGAAGAAGGTGCCCTGGATGCCTCAGGCGAGACCTCGGGTGCAGGATATCTCCCAAGGCCCTTTTGAGATTTGAACTGTCTGTTTTGCAAGGGGCATCGACGAAGTATTCTTTCAGTCTCCAGAGAGGCAGAGACAAAAGATTGAGTTTGTTGAAAGGCGTTTTAAGATGTTTTGGGCAAGAGCGGCAGCATGAGATGTGCTGCTCCATGTTTCCCACATATCCCACTATCCAAATGCATGTGAATTGGATGCCGGATATGCTGGAGTAGTTGGTTGCCGCATGTTGCTTAAGCCATGGGCGCTTTCGAAGGTCTCCAAGCCCGTTTTGGTCTTGGGAGCTGTGCTCTTGCTGCTATCCTCAGTTGTTAGCAGCCCAGTTTGTTGGCGAATCCTTTTCTTGAGGTGTTTACTCAATGTGTGATTCTTCAAGAAGAAGGTAAAGTATGAAGGCACATTCCGGCACAGTATGAAGTCCTTTCACTCCATTGTGCCATTGATATGTGGACCAGCTTGAAAAGATATATTTCTAAATGTGTCCATGCCTTCTTTTTCCACAATTTCAAGGATATGCAGAAACACACGGTCTTCACACGGGAAGCTTGCAATGCTGTTCCATAAGTTACCAAAACTTGAACTGAAATGGTTTGATTGACCTGGGCACACTTTCAATTGAGGTGAGCCTTTTCTGGGCTTCTTGTACAGAACCTGGAATCCTGCCTCGACAGGCTGGCAGCTCGGTCATTGAATTGGGTTGACAAGGTCATATCGTGGTGAGGACCAGTGCAGCTCAGTGTCCTTTGCGTCAAATATGTAGTAACAAGTGCATCGCTTCTAGTAACAAGTGCCTTACTAGTAGTAACAAGAAGCTATTAATTAGAAACAATAAACTACTAGTAACAAGTGCATCGCTTCTAGTAACAAGGATGTCTCCCTTTGCCCCATGTCCTCCTCCTGCCCCAAACACCTCTTCACATCCCATGAAACCTATGAGACAGCACCTTTTTCTTGTTCCTAGTAGCTTCTTGTTACTACTAGTAAGGCACTTGTTCCTAGTAGCTTATTGTTTCCTAGTAGCTATGTTGAAGCAGGTGGAGCAATTTCAGATTTCAAAGCGACATAGAGACCTTGTGAGACCTGGGAGTTCTCTTTCGGGCAGAGGTGGAAAACCCTCCTTGCTTTCTGTGAGGATCCCAAGCGTGGGTTTGCCGGCTGTGGGAAGCGACCCCCACGAGTTGATCAGATCATCAATGGTGTCAAGGTCACGGCAAGTTGATGGATCATAGAGGAGAGAAGCGTAGAACGCGGCAGCAATGTGGAACATGATTGCCGACACCATACATGTACACACGTTGCAGAACTAGTCAGTATGTCAGATTCATAAGGTATGTATGTTGCTGATTCAGAGATTTGTTCTGGAAGACAGTGCATTTGGACGTTCAGCCGTTGTCCATTATTGCAGACAGGGACCTTCGCCAGAGCCATGTCTTGTGCCACGGCTCTGGCAGGTCTCCCTGAAGTGGTGCAGCACTTGCGAGATCTACAGGTCTTGGCTGATCGAAGATGGGACAAGATGGGAATCCTTTTGCACCACTAGCTTGTGTCTAGTAGCATAGCTAGCACCTGCTTTCTGCAACAGTGCAGGCGACTTAGTATATACTTCAGCAGGTGGTCCACTTCAGCTATTGGTGGGCTAGTGGGTAGTGGGTGAGAACAACCAAACTCTTGCCACAGAGATTCTTCCCTTCATGGTGGCAGGCCGCCACGGTCAAAGCACTGTGCCTTTTGCAACAATTGTGCCTGCGCCCATGGAAGAGATACAGTCAGCAGCATTCTTCTTGATTCCCTCAAGATAGGCTCAGTTTGATGGATATGACTGACATGACATTTCAGACTGCAGGTTTTATCCTCTGTAGACAAGGTCTCATCAAAAGCACCATCTTTAGTCGCATTGCAGTTGCTTTCTTGCCATGTTATGTCATTACTCTCATACAAGGAATCATATCAGTCATAGTAACACTATATAGTAATCAAAATATATACAGTACACATATGTACTGTGCATATATAATAGAACAGCAGCTCGCTTGGCTGCCTTGACAATTTGACCAATTATTGAAGCACAGGTTATGAGATTTGATCATCATTGTCCCTGGGTCGCCAATTGCATTGGCATCCGGAACTACAGGCCAGCTGTTGTTAGCTGTTGGCTCTACTGGGTCATGCTGGTCCTTTTTGGAAGCTGAGCAGTATGCAGCTGCGCTACTCCTTGCCTCATTGCTGCAGCAAGACCTCATGCTTGCTCCTACCCAGTCAGAAGGTTGGATCCATGTCTCACAAAGTGATCGAGCTGGAGGGTTCACACCATTCTCAGCTAGCAACCATCCTTGCTCTTCGCAAGCCCTTCACAACTCTGTGCAGGTACTTTGTGTGCTTTGTGTTGTCAACGCTGCCGGCTCAGCTGCGGGAAGAAGACTAAGGGGCGTTCCAAACCTTGAGATGTTTAATCTCATCCCATGCTGGCTTTTCCCATCAGCTTACTTAGCCTATAGATCCTTTGGAGGTACTCACGACGACCGACAGCCATACCTTCCAGAGGACAGCTAGGTATATATTTTTGATCAAACTTTGTGTGAACTTGAACTGGGGGAGGATAAGACAATCACACAACTGGGTTTCGTTCACACTCGTGAGTACTTCTGCCACTGATATGCCCCTACTAAATCGCCAATATGCTGGGTCTCAATAAGGCCTGGTAGTGGCCTGGTAGGACGGAAGGCAGTTACTACCGCTCTTACTTAATTGAGTAGGCGCCTACTGAATTAAGTGAGCTGGACGCAGGATAGCTCACGCTTCACCCGCATGAGGGTGGAGCTTCCTTGCAGAAGCGCTCCCACTATTCACTTGCTTCCTAGATTCATTTCTTCAGAAAAATGCTGCTGCCTTGAATTGATGAGGTTTCTATTGGCACTCTATGTCTTGCTGGCACTTTCCTCGGCGGCCATTCATTCTGGCTAGGCGGCGAGGCAGTTCTTGGTAAGTGTCTATCACGCAGGAGGGACTGCTACTTCTTAGGCAAGAGGCTTGTGAAGGCAAATCCAACCAGGGAGGTTCCAGTTTGGCTTGTCTTTTCCTGTTGAGTTTATTGAACAAGCATGACACCGAGTGATGCCCGATGTGACAAGGCTCTGCTGGGCATTTGCGCTCAGCTCCTTTGGGATGTAGAAAGCCACGGCATCAAGACGTGCCCCCCAGCCACTATATGGCATCCTTGTGTCTTTGTGGGAAGTGACCCTTTCGCATTCGTATAATTTGTCAAGAAAACTCTGGAAACCACCTCTGTCGCATCTGCCCCTCTGGGAAGTTAAATCGCGTGACGCAGCATTGTCTTTAGAGCAAACCTGCTCCTCTTGAATCAATAGAGACTGGTTGACGCTTGGAATCTTCATGGCAGTTGCCGCTGCAGCTTTCACCTTGGCCCAAGAAGGGTCTTAATTGCAATGTCTTCCCCCCAACCGTATATTTATCGTTGCTTTGCCATATCAGGGCCGGGAATCAAAGTACTAATGGACAGAGAACCTCAGGTGACTAGATAGATGGGTTGTAGTCACCGAGGGAAAGATACGTTTACATTCGGGTTTTCTGACGATGTTTTTGACATGGCCACTTGAGAGGAAAGGAGATGAACACAGAGCAGAATGACAACCAATAGAACGATGGCCTGATTGCCTAGAAGCTCTTGATCCCAGATGTAGCGCGAGGCGATGTGAACGGAAACAAAGCAAAGGCAGTGACAAAAATAAACAGAGCTTAGCAGATAGAGCCGGGAAAGCAGCTAAGAATGCATGCTGAGAAGCTGAGCGTGCAACTCTTCATCGTAATATGGCGTGACACTGCATCATTATTGTCATGAATTAATACAGTCATTCTTCCCATTTGTTGTTTATTCAATCATTGTTTGTTGGCTGTTCCTTTCCGCTGCCTGAGAGGTCTTGGCCTCCTAATGGGCTCGTGGAGCTTGCCAGCGACACCCCGCATTCTGTGCCTCATCAGACATACCACTTTATGCTACTTTTGACCCCGCCCCCACATTCTACATGTTATACAATTCCAATATCCGGTGAAGCAGAGAAGTATGGATTCGAATGTTTGCTGGGAAGGACACTCTCAAACTTGCCATATGTCAAGCCCATGGCCGGCCAGAATTTAGACCATGACCGAGGCCGCCGCTGGATTTGAGCTCTGAAAATGGCAGTTTGGTGCAGGCTGAGCTCTACATGCTTTGCATGATACCACCAGGAGTTGGGAGTCAGCCTCGGCCCCTTTCTTGACTCGATGAAGCACTTGCACCTGTTCAGACAGAGCACTTGTTCTTGAGGGCGAATATTGCAATGCAATAGTGATCAGTCCAAATCTGCTATCAGAACCAGGGTCTCCGAAAGCTGCAGCACAGCTCCACACGATATGTGCCTGGGACCGCAAGGGTACACTCCAGCACCTTCTCTCCTTTGTTTCGATGTATTGTGTCCAACTGTACTATCTAGATTCTAGACAGACGTCAGAGACAAATTCAGCCACTCTTTCCTGTCCTTTTCGGTAAAGAACTGCTCTAGCCTGAGTCTGTCTGACACGCTTTAGTTTGTGCCTCATTCAGAGTGCATAAGCGGTGGTGCCTACACAGGGTCTTTGTTTTTGGCGAATGCCTTGGTCTCTTTCGTTGTCGTTGACCATGTTGCCGTTGTTTTGTGGTCAGGTGAGCCTGAGAACGGCCACTATAGTCACTGGAATCTCAGAATCGGAAGACTGTGACATCTAAAGCCAAAGGACCGTCTAAAATGAGGCGCCATGTGAGAGTGCTCGGCCATCACGCAACTTGGCTGCACGATGTGCCGAAATGCTTGGTTGTGTCAGCTTCAGTCTGAATCAGTAAGGCACCTTCCGATAAACTCCAAAGGTTGTATGTTTTGGCACTGAACATGCACCTGCAAGTGTCTCTTTTTGCAGACTACGTTTCTCCCTTTCTGTACAGTCGTGTGTGAACATTATTTTGCCCGTGCTTTGCACAGACAGGTGGAACCACAGAAACAGTCAATGCATCAATGTCTATTGCAAAAGCACTTCAATCGCTCTTGGATACTAGATTCTAGATTTTGTCCAATTCACTGAAGCCGCTGTACCCAGAAGCTTTCTGAGCCTGTTGGGCCTATCAGCTTAGGCGTTTCTGGCGTTTCATACTTGGGGCAAGTAGCCAACAGCCGACTTCAAGAGGCCCTTACTACTCGACGCACGTGCGGAGTAGAAAGCGAAAGTGGAGGTAGCTGAGGGAGGGAGTCAAGGAGCCAAAGGGTGATATCAAGGAGTTAAGGAAGATCACAGAAATGTGTTTTGCAATAATTTTACCTTTCCTTCTCAACAAAGCTGTAACTACTTCTACATCTGACCTCAATGCAGTCTTTATTTGTATATTTATGTGTTATTTTGATTTCCTGATTGCATAGCATGACGACCACCTCAGTCAGGTATTTCTTCCGTCAGCATGTCCCAAAGTTTAACTACTCTCCGACTCAACATTCATAATTTAGACAATCTGCCATGCCAAGGGACTTTCCACCACTAATCAGTCGCCCGGATTCCAATAGGGAAACTCAGGGGCATCCAAACACGACAATCACAGATTGCTTTCTCTAACCCTGTTTTAGCCTGCAAGATCTCCGTGTCAGGCTGACACTGAGCTGAACATGTACGAAAGTCAGGTGCAGCGTTTGCCAAGAAAAAGGTGCAAGGAAAGAAGTTGAGCACATTGATGACAACAAACCACCACCACAGCCACCGCCTGCACAGCAACAGCAACAGCAACATATCCAGCATGAATTTGCAGATACCACCTTTTGTGAAACGCTGACCAGCAATTAAACGAATTAGTCCGTGGCTGCAACTTGCACTCAGCCGGCATGCAGCCTGAGCCGTCAGGTGTATGCCAGCCTGAAGCCTCCTCCAGCTTGGGCCTCGCAAAGAAAGCCCAAAGGTAGCGAAAGAGTTTTGGTCCTGAATACACTGGGAGACCGACAAATTGCATAAATTTTGACTCCCCACATTTAAGGTGCCAAATGACTTAAGTTGTCTGGCGTGAAGGTCCCCAATCTACTCCAAACAGGGCACTCGGTGGGTTGTCTCCAGCCTCGGAGTCAAGCAATCACTGGAAGCAAGAGTCTCTTCCCAGCAGGTAACTATGTTGAGGTTTTTGTTGCTGGATGTTGAGATTTCACACGTTTGGACAACGCATTCATTGAGCTTCAAAGTATCAAGGCAGAAAGGTGACTTGAAGAGCTGTGACAACGCATCCTAGGTGCCGGAGCGTCGCAGTGATCGTGGGAGCCTGACAAGCCAACATGGTAGGTCTCTTCCTCTAGGTTGAAAGATGTTCAATGGCTTTACTTGAGGAAACTCTATGGTCGAGCACAAGAGTGCGGCATCTGATCAAGGCTCTTGGAGACCTAAGATAGTCGAGAGAGACAACATTCTGGAAGCTTTGCTATCAACTCACATAGCAGCAAAGGTGGAAATTCTCCATCAACACGTGCTTTGAATGAAGGAGGGTATGACTCATTATGACATGTATGACGTTCGTGGTTCACTGACATTATATGTATATATATATACTTATTGATTGCAAAGTAGCTCATTGGACGTCACATGTCTGGAGAATCTATAGGAACAGCATGGAAGTTCATGGAACAGCTGTTTCAATTTCTTTTGCTTTTCCAATTTATATATGCATATATTTACATGTACATACATTCATGACCTTCAGCTGCCGGGCTGGTGGAAGCTTATTTGTTTCGATAGGCCAGCGGATCAGACCTGTAAAGCAGGCAGGCCTCATTGCACACTGAGATTCTGTTTGCAGATCAACACATGTTAATTGGGCCCTAAATGTGACATTTGTTTCTTAAGCTACTAGGAGCAAGGGCATCGCTACTAGTAACAAAGGGCATCGCTACTAGGAGCAAGGACGCTACATATGTATGTTTCGCTTCTGGATCCTTTCCTGTCGCCAGGATCACTAACATAGTATCGGACTCTGAGAGATTTGGTAGTTTCTATCAGACAGTCCCTAAGTCCCTAGCAAGCTTGCTTCAACCCCTGCAGGATGAAGTGGTGCTTGAGACGCTCAAGATGCAGGAGGTGCGCCACTACAAGGCGCTGCCCTGGTGTCACTTGAGCAAGCAAAAATCGTTGTATACAATTGCTATTCTCAAGATTCATGAACTGCATGTGTTCTATCCCATACCTATGCAGTGTACCTACGATGCCAACTCCCATACCATCCCAAGCAGTAACCAATAGAGCATTTTTCTTGAGAATAGCTGAACATAGCTAAGAGTATTTAACCAAAGAGGAAACGAGATTGAGACCACGACCCCCAGAGCAGGACAATTAGATTATCTCAGTGTGACCCTTGCTTGACTCTGCTTAACACCCTGGTGCAAACATTATTCTAGAAGACTCTTTTGGTGACACTCTTGTAGGACACCTTCATGCAATACTATTGCTTGACAATTTTGTGCGAGGCCCTCCTCGCACACTCTTGTCGGACACTCTTGTGCGACACTCTTGTAGGACACACTTGTGTGACACTCTTGCTTGAAGCTCTTGTGCGAGACTCTTTTCTAGGATGCCCTTGTGTGACACCCTTGTCGGATGCACTTAGAGACAGAAAGGAAAGGCTGAAGGAGAGAGAGAGAGAGAGAGACATTGAACTTACATGTCACATGTCTTATCCACTTTCTTTCTTAGGTTATCTCTTATATATATATAACACTTTTTTTTCCCCCTTGCATAGATCTCTCTCTCTCTACATGTATATATACATATATATGGTACTCATATTTTCCAAGTAAGTACCTGCCAATCTGACCAGAAAAGCTAATAAACCTACACCAAACTCGGCAAGCATCAATAAAATACATTCAACATAGGAGCGTAGGAGAAGGGGAATAACTACATGCTTATATTGGTTGTAGGCATATGGCGACACGGCTTGCGCCAAGCGCCAGAGCGTTGTGACCTTGGGAGGTGGCCTTGCCAAGCCGACCAGTCGTGGTCACCGTGTCGGTGACCAGGACATCAGGTGCGAAGTGTCGAGCTTCCGGCACTAGTAGGAACAATGTTCGCTACTAGAAACAAGTGCCACGCTAGTAGTAACAGGTGCCTTACTAGTAGGAACAAGAAGCTACTAGAAACAATGTTCGCTTCAGTGCCACGCAGCCATGATGGGTCATGTGATTCATGAAGTGAGCGCAGTATTTGGAGGGCACACTTCTCCCAGAAGATCCCCGCACACTACCATGTATAGATGCAACAGTCCACCAGAAGAATCAAAGGTGCCTATGGAAGACTGCACCAGACAAATCCTTCTGGGAGATGCAACAAACAATGCAATTAATTAATGCGATCTCGTGATCAGAAGAAGTGAATTAATGCTGCCCTTCAAGGGTCCCTGTTCCAAATATGACTTTTGTATAACTTTAGTCAGTACGGTGTGTATGTCGAAAAAAAGAAACAAACATATATACACAGAGAGAGAACCTCTTTCATCAAATTGATATGGAAAAAGAACACTGATTTTATTGCGGAGATGTTAACAACGTGAATCTGTGAATGGCGATGGAGCGCATCGCAAGTGTGCGGTCTGCGGGTGAGCCAGGAGCTGCAGGCCCCGCCACGTAGCAGTGACTGGGGAATATCTTCAATATCTCTTGTTTAGCTCTGTCTCAGATCCCATCAAACCTAGATTGAGATCCCTGAGGAAGAGCCCAAGCTCTTGGCCGCTATTCGGAGCTTTGGATCGAGACAGATGTCAGAGGTATAGACATGTTGCGCTGCATGACATCCAAGGAAAAGCCTCAAAGTGCAAGCCGAGGACGTCCTCCGGCTTCCCGGAAGTGTCACTTGGCCAAGATGTGGGTCATGAAACAATGACGAGTCATCCCATAAAAACATTGTTTCCGATTCAAGGTTGATTTTGGATTATGCTGTGAGCTAGACTGATAGCCGCTCCCGCTTGAAGGAGATGCCATTCATGTTGTGGAGTACATCCGTCCCTTTCTGTTTCCCACCCGCGAAGAGGTGTTCATTTGCCACTCAATTTATCAGGGGTTGCAATTGGTTGCTGTCCAGGCGACGCGTGTGGCAAACAATATGCTCCTTGGCTATATTTGCATATATTTGCACACCGGAGACAACAGGGAATGTGTCTGGACCGGCTCGAAACTCACCGGCAAAGCATATTTCATTTTTGGATTCCTTGTGATACCCCTAGCAACTTTTTCCTTGTGATACCTGGACAGAGCAACTGAGCTCTGGACACCAGGCGTGCCGTTGCGCGCAGAAGTCCATGCAGATGGTTCCTTGGCAGAGTTGGTGGCAGGTTCCAGGTTGAAAGGCTGAAGGGAGAAATTCCAGTCGAATGAAGAACATACGATAAGGATGCAACATCTTTGAGGTTTCTCCGAGACCACGACGAAGCATTCACAGCATTCACCTGTAACAAATCCGTGAAGCGTTTTGCATGCAGTCCTTAAGGCGAAGAAAAGTGCGGAGATGTTGGCGCATCAGCTCCTCTGTGGGACCTGGGGCGAAAAAGGGAACCTCTATATAATAACATTAGAAACTTAATGCATTTTTCATATTTTGTTTTTTCGTTTACCTAAAGACAAAGACAAGACGTGAACATTTTGAGGTACTGTACCCCTTTGGAATCTTCACAATTCATATCCTCTCTGTCCGATGTTCTTTCTGGTAGCCGGCGTGCATTTACCAAACCTAGGTTCTGGTTGAAGTCTTGTAACTTGCTTGACGACCCAATGATTGAAGTGGACGTGGTTGCTCGCAGCTCCGGTTCTTGGTACTGGACAGAAAAGAAACTGCCTTCTCGTGGTAGGTTGGCGATGCACTTTCTGCAACGGACCAGTGGAAGGTTTCGAGGACAGACTGTGGACGGTTCCTGTCAGCTTGCGCCAGATGCGGATGAAGCATGCGCTGCATGTGCTGCATGTTTACAGCGCGATGTGGTCCATTCCTTCTTCGTTCTCGGTATAGAAGCTGTCTGGGTTTCGCCAGTTGCTCAGTGGCATCGTGCCTTGTACGAGTCGCCACGGCGTGGCCATTCCGCAGCCGAATGGCGTGGCCATCGCTAGTAGGTTGGAGGCCATCGCTCTTACGTTGGAGGCCATCGCTCTTACGTTGGAGGCCATCGCTCTTACGTTGGATGCCATTGCTTCTAGGTTGGAGGCCATGGCTTCTAGGTCGGAGGCCATTGCTTCTAGGTTGGAAGCCATCGCTAGTAGGTTGGAGGCCGTTGCTTC